TAATAATAATAATAATAATAATAATAATAATAATAATAATAATAATAATAATAATAATAATAATAATAATAATAGCGTTTTAATTAAACTACCGTTACCCCAAAAACGCAGGTTTCGATAAAATAATTGGGCGTATTTTTGTGTCTTCTTGGCTATCAACATTTGAATAAAATGGTAAGATTGGAATATATACGTGTCGCTCTAGCGCGCTAGTATTTGTGGAGAAAATAAATAATGATTATGCTAAATATATTTTGTGTGCATGGCTTAACCTTGTGGTTAGGAAAGTAATCTATTTCGTTTTCTACACAGTTTGATTATGGCATATGCTTAATAGAAAATTCAAAACTAACGATTTAAGTTTTTATAGACGAATCAGATATCCAAACTCACCTAACGTTAATACTGTTGCCACCAACGTTCCTGTTTGAAACGCTTGCAATCAAATAAGATTATCGTTATTAGAATAATCTTTCTAAAATTTACTTATTTTAGGTTACACAAGATTATTAAATACATGTACATGTATAAATTACCGTTACCTCTTATAGAATATGGTGTCATTTTTTGATCCTATGACACTATTGATACAGTACAGTATACGTAACTATGAATCACTAGTTGCAAAGTGTATTCATGCGTGGTCATTTTTGCGTTGTTATTACGTTCGTTGGTGAAATTTTCGTCTTTTACATAGCATTTTATCTCCTACCAATATTCGTATCACTCACCTCAGAAAGATTAGTGAACCAGATTTCTTTACTAAACAGAAGTAGAAATTTAGGTTATTTAATAAATTCGATTTATCAAAGAAGATTCACTATAGCTGTTCTTGAACCAACTTCAATTTACCGAGGCAGGTTTTACTATAACTTCCTGTAATCAAATACGGTTTTATGCAGGTTTTAATTAGTGCTTCGGTTTAACGATATGACTGTGTACAGTCGTTCCTCGTTGTTATCAACGTTATGGGACCGGGCTACATGTATTTGGTTGATAAATGTATATACAAGGGTGGGGTTAGAGTTAATATAATTTATTATCATTTGAAATCTGTTCTGCGATCAATGCTGCTAACAACGGGGGGTCTGACCGTATTATGAATTATGAACATGATATGTCACTTTAGAAATTAAAATTTGTTATAAATGAAGTTAGCTTTTATAAAAGTTTATTCTGAAAAAATGTTTTAGTATTCAAATAATTTCCAAACTTTTGAAAACAGTGAACGCAAACAAAATTTTGGTAATAGCAAATCATATATTAAATTGTTATTACGTGTTTCTGAATTATCTTAAAACAATTTGTAACTTCTGTATATGAATTGTAGTTAGCCAAAGAAAAATACAGCACAGTATACTGTGCATTGGCGTTATATGATTCTAAATACGGTAGTATAATTATCTCTGTTTGCATATGATAAAATATCCAATCCAAATTTATAAACGACTATCACGTGACTTTTACTACACGCTCGAACCCGATGATAATTAAAATAGTATACATAACGATTATGATATAGAATAGAATACCTCTCTGAACTAACAAAATACAAAAGGACAAGTGAAATAATCATGAGATTATTGTTATAAAAGGTTTAGCAATGATGAATTTTTGTTAGACAGCATACATGTGTGGTCAGCAGATTTCCTGAAATTTACATAGTCAAACACTGTTTCAAATCACTACCCCTCTCATTTCCAACTACGTATGCAAGTTTCTATATTCTTGGTTTGAAACAAAACAACAATGGCTTGAACAGCAATTGTCAAATATAACCTTACACAAATCATTTACGTATTACGTTTTTGATGCTACTACGTATTTTTGACTAAGATGAACATCGTGGAAAATAATCTGAAACAGATTACATGTACATGGATTTTCATATTTTGAGAAATATGCTCTTTTTGCGTCACCCCAAAATTTTTTTATCTGACCAAAACCTTTAGCCATGTACTGTATTTCTGAGATGTACGATTCCAACATCATAGATGCGGAAATAGTGTTCAAGTGGGGTCGAAAATGTGAATAACCAATAATTCACCAGGAACACCCCATTGTTAGCAACATTGGTCACAGAACAGATAATAGATTATATATCAACCCTAAACCTCGTAGTTATCCACTCTCGTATATATCAACAAAATAGCCGATGATGCTGATAACAATGAGAAACGACTGTACTGGCAAAAAGCGTTTGCTCGCGGTTGGTAGCGTTCCGACAAAAGTTTCAGGGTGAAACAAAATTAGCTCAATGCAATGCTTGTTATAGTTGTGAATATCAGGCTAGCGAGGTAGGTGACAAAAAACCTAAGAATGAAAAGAACTTTGGAGTGATGAACCGAAGCATTATTCAAAAGAGGATAATATTTAGCATTAACAGGAAAATCGATATTTGCCAAAAACTTTAGTCTCTACTAAACCTTCGATCAATTGATAATGAGCCACGCCTTTTTAAAGAATTTTATCCTAAAATTAGCCAATAGTATTTAAGATATTGAGATCCTAAATACATGTACCATTAGCTTATTTAAATTATATTTATTCAAATAATAGCAAGGTTTTTAACTACTGTATGCTAGTAATTACGGGAGCCAAGTTTTTTAGACCTCGAAAAGACTGCACGAAGAATGTCCTGAAAACTTATGCAGGAGTTGTTCTCCAGTTAGGAAAAAGCTTGGGCGCGTTTTACATACTTTGTGGTAATAAATTTAGATGCAACAATTCAAATCAATTATTATTTTGAATCGGAACTAAGTTCCGGAAAACAAGATTTTTACCGGAATATCTACATGTATTACATGTAAATATTATTGTAAGAATGTCACTGTAAGAGTTGAGTGCAATGTGTTACATTATACCGATATGCATTTATATATTTTTCAGCAATAAAAACGGTTCACATCTTATACATCACAAACAATTTTCTTGAGTATACTCTAAGACGAAAACTGGTCATCTTATAACTCACAAACAACTTTCTTGAGCATACTCTAAGACGAAAACTGGTGAGTGTATTCTCTCAAAGTTTGAATGAAGTCTAGGCATATAGCTAATATTTTTATCAACTAAAGAACAATAATGAGCGATTGTCCTGACCTGCCTTTTACTTGTAACGGCTTAAGCGAATGCTGTGACCGAAAACATGGCAATTGGTTGATGGGTTCACACTGTAAAGATACAAGTGGCTGCGGTAGCAGCTTCTATATTTCTTGCGAGTGCACGAGTTACGTTAAGAATCCCGGGGCACTTGCTGGAATTATTATTGCAGCTTGTGCAGTATTTATAATCTGTTGTATTTTCTCTCGTAAGAATAGAGAGAGGCCAAAGCAAACGGAGGTAAACGCTTCATAGTCTCCTATGGCTAGTACTTTGTAAGGTATCTTTTAAGCAATTTTTATTTGCAGCATAATATTATTATTACGTTTAACAGATACTTTTATGTTTTTAAAAAAATTATCTAGTAGAAAATAAGACTTTCTCGATCATTAATCCTTTTGTCATTTAAATTTTCAATACTGCCAAAAGCAGACACATAGCCCTAACTCAAATTGACCCTTATTGTTAATAATTTCCCTTAAGTTAAATAGAACTGATATTAATATGTATTTTATGTACAGTTCTCATATTATATATTATTATATATTATTATATTAAAAATAAATAATATTCACAATGCTAAAAAACTTTAATCAGTAAGAAGTTAAAAGTCAGCTTTTGATAATATTACTCTTGATAACTATTTTGAAATTGAGCTGGAACGATATTATACATGTAATACTGTAATTTACTTGTTTTACTAATTAACTTTGAAAAAATGTATAAATCTCTAATAATAAATTAAAATACAGTGCTCGTCATATATAATGAGAATGCTGTTTTTCCTTATTGTGCTATAAAAAAATCCAATTATCTGATCGAATTCTGATAGTACACCATAAATGAAACTACCGTAAAGCGCTCTTTATAATATCCCCCCTTGTAAAAATTTGAACCACAATTTGGTTCAATTTTTTTTTAGTAAA